CATGTCCCAGCACAAGAAGCTGGAGCTGACAGATAGGAACTCACCCCACTCCCTGGATTCGAACTGCCGAGCTTTTAGTTTGCAGTCATGCCAGCACAAGTGTTTAACCCATTGCACCACCAGGGATGCCTAATCAATACCTGATGGCAGAGGAATATTTTTAACCTGCTGGTGAAAGGGGAACAAGATGAAACTATTCTGACCTCTCTTGGGAGCAGCCACCAAAAAGGTCCTGTCTCTTGTTGCTACCAACCAAGATTGAGAGGGTGGTGGGTGGCACAGAGAAGGGTCTCTCAAAGTAATCATGGTGTGCTCTAACTTCCATGGCTGCATCCTATGGGTTTCTGGGATTGGTATTTTAGACAGGTACTCACTGCTTTCTATGAAACTAGAAATCCAAAGATTCAGTAGCATGGAACTGTGACAAAGTAGGACTGAAGCCCTATACTTTTGTAGTGTGGAAGGGCCCTTGGCAACCAGGGTGAGTCGATCTGATGCAAATCCTTATTGTGGAAAAATAAATGAAGGTATAGCAACCATTGGGAGGGACTCAGGGCCACTGAAGCCAAGCTGAATTGAATTCATGGAACATGTTTCTTTGATGCTCCAGGTAATTCACCAATAGTTTAAATGAGTGACTGTTTCCCAGTCTAGTTCTAATTTATTGGGGATGTGGAAATTGTGAATGCTGGACCAGGCTTGTATGATAAAATGCTCTGTCATACAGTGTTAGAAAAAGAAACTCTCTCATAACAACAAATTAGGTCTTCAGAATGTTGTCATACACTCCTTGCTCCTAAACAAAGTGATATATTATTACAGGTAATGTGGTTACTCATAAAAGCTGCATATGGATATATAATAGCTCTTTCTGGGTTCTATGCTGTCAGCTATAATTAAATATTGCACACACTATCACAGTTCAAGCCTCTCTCTTTGTTAGTAACAACCACACAACAAATCATATATTCAGTTGGACATATACACTCTGTCTCAAAAGTTTCATGCATCCATTGGGATGTCACAGTGGTGTCACTAAGGTTGATGCCATTCAGTGCAATAATTAGTGGTGTCACCATTATGGGCCTCCTGATGTACCAGACCATATTTATTTTATTTATTTTATTTATTTTATTTATTTTATTTATTTTATTTATTTTATTTATTTTATTTATTT